ATGTGATTGCATTATGGTCACTAACAGTAAACTCAGGGAACACTTTCCATTTACTAATTGCCCTATACGCCGCAGCCGTTGCTAGCGTGATATCTATATTTGTACTTCCCGCTTGCGACTCGAAAGTGGGTGCGTTATTTGGTTCATTCACAACCACTAGCAGGTTTGAAGCAATGAACTCTTCAACTTTTCTTCCTCTTTTATCTGTGTGATTTGAATGCCACATTTCTGACTTCGAATTACAGTCTGCACAAATAATGACCTTTTTTTCACCTCCAATTTTATTAATTATTCCATCCAATTGTGCTAAATATGGCTCCACCCTATCCGAAAATTGAAAATAAGCCGCAATCAAGTAGCATTCTTCTTGTTCAGTTGTTAAACATGCAGTTATTACGTGATCAGTACCGCCTATCTGTAAGGCGTCTATTGAATCGTTCAACACCACAATTGCAACTTGTGGAGAGGATGTACTGGGCTGTATAACTCTCGCATTCAAAGGGGCATATCCTTTAACTTTACCTTTATACGCATACGGCTCCTGTATAACAATAATATCATATTCGCCCTGTGCTTTTTGTCTAATATCCGCCGCGACACTTATCGATCTCTGAGCATTTATTTGTACTACTTTTATTCCCATTCTATCCTGTTACGATAATTCTCCAACTGTTTACGATATTCAGGACATTTAACATCTTTAACTGAGTGGGCATAATCCCTTCTTCTAGCCTTCTTACAATTTATACATGTTGCGATTTTATCTTTCAGCGAGCATTCACTTTTTTGATGACCCTCCGATCCACAATGCTCACAAGTTAGTTCTTTTGCCGTACAATTCTTTGCCGCATGTCCATAAGAATAGCACTTAAAACATCTAGTCACATTAATATATGGCCTAATTCTATGAGAGCATACCTCAATATATACACGACCTTTATCAATCAGTTTTCTATATATATTACTTGGTAACTCTATTACCCAATTTACTTTATTTGGATCTTTCGTCCTCATACTAAACCTAAATATTATACCACCAAGATATTCGTCTTTACTTGTATCCTTCTCTTCTAGATTTCTCAGCCACATTTGCTCCAAAATTTCATCTTTCGTTAGTTTTTTGTCCACGTCATATATAATTGCTCCAGGTCCGAATTTCTTAGGGGTTTCAACACATAATCCTATGTTAGCAAATTTTATCCTTTTAATCATTTCAGCATCAGTCTTAGAGTCCAATTCCATCACTAATCCTTTTTTCCTCATCTTTCTTATATTTCTAATCTTATATTTGTCTCTACTATCCTTTAGCAGGTTACACACCTTCTCTCTTATCTCATCATTACTTCTGTTTTCAGGTTCTCTTTCCGGCTTAATGAGAAGGACTACAGGGGAAGGACCTGCATCACGCCGAGGAGACAAGTGAGGGAAATAGCTCTGTTTTCCAGCAACCTCTGCATAGCTTAAACTAGCTTTCGGTTTTCCCGTATCAGGTTTACTCAAACTTTTTGTTTTCGCAATCTCCTCTAATCTCCCTCTCATTCTCTGATTATCTAATTCTGTTCTATATAGCTTTTCTTCTAGCTCCGCCCATTTAGTCATCACAAATTTTATTGCCGTCTTGTTTACCTTATTGCTTTCACTATAAAGAAAGTTCTCTAATTCCTTTCTCATATTTATCACTGAACCAGTATCCAATGTTTCAGCTATTTCTTCATCAAAATTTTCATCTTTATTTTCTATATCTTCTACTGGAATCCCAGTATCAAAATGCGAAGTCCCCTCACTCCCTTGTCGATTACGAACATATATCCCATCAGCAGAAGGTGGCGATCTACCGACCGATCCCCTTCTTGCAAACGGATCACCTTTTACATCATCATACTTAGTTTTATGTTTATTTGTTTTATTAGTAACATCCATATTGTTCCCACGAATATGGCAGGAAATACACGTCCACCCAGGCAGAGCCCCCATTACCAAGGTAAGCCTAAGTTCTCCGGGGGGGCGGCAGGTACCCCGGGGGATCGTTTCAGACTGCACAATTTTATGTCCCCGCAGCCACGCAGCCCTCAGCACGATGCCTCCCACCTTAGCTTAGGACAGAGTTTTTGTACAGGCTGCCAGAAATGAGAGCCCGTACAGGACGCTGTTAGCACCCCCGGCCGACACCCATGCACCAGACACCCAGCCGACTCAGGCCGGCGGGGGACTGGGCAGGGGGACGGCCGGACCGACACCCATGCTCCAGACACCCAGCCGACGCAAGCCGACGGGGGACTGGGCAGGGGGACGGAAAGAGTGAGCCCCCGCACCACGACAAGGTCGCGCCCCACGCGAGGGAGTAGATAGGGACAAACACTGTGTAGGTTCTCCAACCGAGGTCGGAGCACCTATGTTACCACGCCCATTCGGGCATACACCACAACGTATCAAAAAATGACTCAGGACTTTTTTACTTGGATTCTCATCCTGTATCTCATGGTATACTCCAAGTGCGATAATTTAGTTACACCCTGTATATACTATTTTGACGATGCCGCCCAAGTTAGTTATACTTATTTAGACGATGCCGCCCAAGGTCAAACCTATAAGACTAGTATATATATCTTATTAAACCCTATCACTTTTGTCTAAGACATTTTTCTCAGAATTAAATACATACTTTCCGAGATATTAGACCGTTTCCAAATTTTTTGTATATTTTTAAATGATCATTACTCGACTTCTAAGGCCTATTGGCGCGAACGGCTTTACAGGTGTTCATTTGATAGGCTCCTCTAACATTGCTGTAAGTTTGATCAAAATTAGTAAAGAGCAGAGTGTAACCTCTACTTGTGAGTCAAAAATTTTTCTAATATATTTTGCAATTTTTGCAATGTAACAAATAATCAATGAGATATTAATTTGTATAGATTGCTGAATAAGTGAATAAAATCGATGTACTTATAAAACAACTTTAAGGTATCTTCAGAGTTCTTTGTGAAATATCTTAAAGATTTTTCTAATGAACTCTTAAAAATATCTTAATGTTAATTATCTTATGCATCGGTTTTAGACTTTCTACTCATTAGGTAAATAAAAAAAATGTAAAATTTTTGAAATGATAGTTTTTTTTAAATTCAGTTTAATCTGCTCGATCGATCTGCCTACAAGCGATGTGTAAAAAAAGTTAAGGACACCCTATATATATTGTGTATGTGTGTGTGTGTGTGGTTGCATGCGCGTGTGTGTATATAGACATGCACACTAGAATAATAAATATTTTTTACCTTTTACGGCTTCTAATTTTCGCTCATCCAATTTACGTTTTGGTTTGATGTTTTTATTAGTATTAGCAACCTTCCCAGTTATACTAGATTCGCTTAAAATTAGGTTGGTATATACTATCGTTAGAAGATCAGAAATGAACAATGAATATGTTCTCTTATTGCACTTTTAATCTTGTCTATACTAATTTCTTTGTCATCAAATGTGACGACATCCTTGCCCTGTAAGGAACAAACACTACAGAATGTAACCATATTATCAACTTTTAAAACAATACCCGTATAAAAAGAACTATTAGGGCGTACGAATTAATCTATTCGGATAATAGTACAGTAATAACTCGTTTTTTAAACAGTTACTGCACTAATCCTAATATGTAGAAATAGACGTACTCCAAAAGTTCTTCCTTTATGGGACAAAGAAATTGACATTATGTGAGTAACTCTGAAATAAAAAAATTGCATGCACAAAAAGATATTAACGTTACAGTTTATGTATAATTAAAAATGAAGATAACTTACAATAAGTAATGCACTTGTGTCATTATTAGAAATGGATTCTTTCTTGCTTATAGGTTTTAATTTTTCTATTGGCAATAGGTCATCTATTATCAAATTCTCTTTCACCATTTCTGACTCATCAGGTTTTTCTAGTGACTTTTTGGTTTTTGTTTTTTGATATCAAAACTGTGATTTTCTTTTGGGTTATAATTACAGTTAACTTCATGAAGTTGAGAACTTGATAAAGTTTCGAACATCTTGTTTGATTGATTCTGAAAATCACAGCAATGATATAAAGTTAAAAAATTTTACACTTTGGAGTTATTGTTTTAATTCAATGCATACGCGCGCCTGTTTTTATTAATTAATTATTTTCAGGGATATTGAATATGCTTTTAATCTATTGTAATGATATGAGAATGTTTATTTGCATATTCACGCGGTGCACGTACATATATAAATACACATATGCAAAACAAATGCACAACACACTTACATATACACTTTTACAATAAATTTTAGGCAATCAATATTCTTAAAAAATAATGATCAATAAAATTTAAAAATTATAAAAGTTAAATATACCTCCCAGGTCAATAATGAGCTATATTAGTTGTTAATATTAAACAAATTTATTACAATCGATAAAATTAGCGCAGAACGTTTCGACTTTACAAAGTCATCCTCAGCTGCAATAAAATTCCCACTCAAATTAAACCGTTTACATGTCACAGACGCAACAACAAATAAAAATTATAAAACATTGTAAATTCTCTAATAAATATAAAAATTAAATCCTCAACAGTCGCAAACTTTCATATAACAATACAATCGCTCCAATATTCGATGGCGGTAGTCAATTTACTTAAACGATGAAAAAACCTGTTATAATCCATTCTTCGTTTATATGCGAGAAAGATTAATCCCATGAAATTTCCAATCCGTTAGTCAAAATTAAAGAGCACAGAGCCCATATATGGATATCAAGTCATCAAATTCTATATGTAGGTTGAAACTGTATAAATCAAAAAAATTGACAATGAAACAACTGCAAAAACAAACCAAAAATTGAACACTTACATTATAAAAGAAGATAATTATTCACTAAATTTGCAAGTCAGATTATACACATCTTAACTATATGAAAAGTAATGTACAAATGATAACGTTTATGAGTTTAGAAAGTCAAAGTGGTTGATATTTATTATTATTATTTATTATTATTGATTATTGTCATTGTTTATTGTCACCAATACGTTCCAGCAAATGTACATATACATCGTCAAGAGATTCGGTATCCTTCTTTAAATTTATTCCATTTAATTGTTCTTTAATATGTAAAGTCTCTGAGATTAGTCTCTTATTATAATTAGGTTCATAATCCATAATTTTAGTATTGTTCCAATCAAATTCATGATTACATTGTAAAATATGGTTAGTTAGTACCGAATGTCTAGACTGCTCAAGCTTTTTATTATTCATATGTTCTTTAATTCTTGTGCTCAATTTCCTTTTAGTTTGTCCCACATAGGTTATATCACAATTTTTACATGGGATCTTGTATACAACATTATTATTGCTAGCTATTTCTTTTTTATCTTTGAGTGTTTTTATAAACATATCTAACTTATTCAAGCATCTGTAACCTATCTTGTAAAGAGATTTATTAAACATGTTCGTAACTGCATGTGTTATACCTTGTATAAACGGAAGTACCATATATTTCTTTTTTACATTATTGTTATTATTGGAATTGTCATTAATTGTGTTATTGGAATTGTCATTAATTGTGGACACAATCTTTTTGGATTGAATCAAGTTTTTTATTCTTCTGTTGAAATATTTAAAGATGAAATCTATAGGATATCCATTCTGTAAAAGTATTGTAATGCACTGTTCTAAATTTTTTTGTTGAAATTCAGGATGTGATAATAAAATCGCTCTGTCCACAAGGCTATATATAGTGCCTATTTTGTGACAAATAGGATGATTTGATAAAAACGACAGATATCTGCCCGAAAAAGTCTTTTTATGAAACCAATCAAGTTTTACAATTCCATCCTCCACAATTAATAACAAATCCAAAAAGCTGATCATATGGTTTTGTTCAAATTCTACTGTAAATTGCAACCGTCTATGTATGTTGTTAAAGGTGTCTTTAATAACTTCAATTTTATCCTCAGGTGCTGCCAAAATTATATCATCCACATATCGAAAATAAAAAGTACAACAGAAATTAAGTGAATTTAAAGCTTTCTCTTCAATGTCCCGTAATACTAAATCAGCTATAATCGGGGATAAAGGTGAACCCATAGGGGTTCCAAAGGTCTGCTTGTATATGATATTATTAAATTTAAAAAAAGTAGAAGAAAGAACAAACATTACAGCATCAATGAATTCATTTTTCGGGATAGTTATTTTTTGTTCTATAAAATCCCATCTTTTGTTTATGCTGTCCATTGCCAAATCATGAGGGATGTTAGTGAACAAAGATATTACGTCAAGAGATATTACTGTGTCAAACACATTAATTTTTTTGTTAGATAATAGTTTGTATAACTCAAAACTATTTGGAGCCCCCCGTGGGTTAATAGGAATGTTACTCGATATGATCCGATGCAAAAATGCAGCCAAATCATACAAAGCAGTATTAATTGAAGATACTATTATACGCAATGGATAATTATCTTTGTGAATCTTTACCAGTCCATATGCTAGAGGAAGATTTGAGTCCGAGGACCTAAGACGCAATTGAGTTGTTTCAGAAATGTAATCCTGTTCCTTCCATTTTTTTAACATAGTGTTTAAATTTTTTTCCAATGATTTCATAGGATCTTTTTTTACTACTATGTATGTGTTTTTGTCATTAAGCATATCTTCCATTTTTTTGATGTAATCCTTTTTATCTAAAGCAACCGTAACATTGCCCTTGTCAGCTTTAGTGAAAACTATATTAGGATTATTTTTACAAAATTCAAACGTTTTTTTATAATTATTCATAACCTGTTTTTCATTAAAATTGATAGTGTTATTAATTAAGAAATTTTCAAGTTTAGGAACAAGTCCGGTCCGAATCTTACTTTTACATGCATCATTAAAAATACGATTGTTATATTCTACATTTTTTATGAATTCATGTATCGTATGCTTTTTGTTAACAACTGGTGGAAGACTGAAATTGTTACCTAATTGTAACAAACAGGAAACAGTAGGAGGTATAACTGCATCAGACAAGTTTAAGAACCATTTCTCATTCAGAGTTTCTAACGGGTTGTTACTTGTATCACAAAACTGTTCAGGTTTCAAGACAATATTAAACGTTTCAACCCAGTTATTATTTTTTTCACTATTTTCAAAAGGAATTAAAGAGTATTCTAATGTTCCATGGCTATCTCCTTGGACATAATATTTGGTAGGTGTGACAGATGTTATTAATTCATTATTATATTTGTTCATAAGTCCGTTAAACTTATTCTTATGCAAGTTAAATTGTTTGCAGTTATAATTATTGAAGGATATGTAAAAATGGTTTTGTATGTCCATCCAAATGTAGAAAGGAAGAGAATTAGACAACTGTCCGTCAATCAATGTTAAGGATCTGTATAACTGATCCAGAAACCGATGTAAATCAAAAATTTCAATGACCATCAGCCCACTTGTTAAATTCTTAATCAACCTATTAAACTTCATGTTGGATTTATAATGATTCAAATTTAATTTTATCCTATACAAGCGTGACAAATGTGTTGGAACAATACCTGAGGATTTACAAGTTTTTAAAAAATGTAGTTGTGATTTAATTCTAATAAACCTATAGTTCAAATCTATCCATCGCTTCAATAAATCGCCCACATGTCTGCCGAAAGTATCATAGACAAAACAAAAATTAAACCGATGTAACTTAAAATAATTAATTCCCCCACGCATTTTTAGACCAGCGTATAACCAAATTAATAAATATTATCAGCTCATATAAAATCAAAAATTATAAAAGTTAAATATACCTCCCAGGTCAATAATGAGCTATATTAGTTGTTAATATTAAACAAATTTATTACAATCGATAAAATTAGCGCAGAACGTTTCGACTTTACAAAGTCATCCTCAGCTGCAATAAAATTCCCACTCAAATTAAACCGTTTACATGTCACAGACGCAACAATAAAATTTAATAAAAAAATATTGAATAAGTTAATTTTCTTATTAGTATTAGGTCGCTTCTCGCCCTGATGAAGTGAACTGCAATGTTCACGAAACGTTGGCATTTTAATATAGACACGGAGATAACTCACGAAATGGATAATTTTTGTATTATTTCCTTATTATATCGCAGTGCATTATAAGTATCTATTAATTACATTTAATTCTCTTTTCGTATCATCTATTGTGAAGTTTTTCGATATTATATTTTCTTTATGTTTGCTTGCTACATATATATTCTTATTAAGTATTTGTAAGTTTTGTATTACATCATTTGACATACTTTTTATTAGTGATAGTTTATCTGAAAATAAAAATAACTCAAGTTATATACTGTATACACAAATATTCACGCAAAATCATTTTACTCAAAATATTTCATCTTTGAGAAGGAAAAATCAAATATATAACCTTCAGAAAGGCAACGTAGTGCTCGTAATCTAGAGTTATCAAGTCTTAATTTCTTATTTTCTTTTTGTAGAATCATAATTTGATCTGTTAACGTTTCCTTAGAACATGTTTTATATGATTGCTTTGGACTTAAATCGTCCAAATTAATATTGTCTGAAACCTTCTAAAGAAAAGAAAATACTATAAATACTCGTTACTAATTATGTACATATTATCATATTATGCTACACAAAAAAATATTTGAAAAATATTTTCAAGGATACAGTACATTGAAAAAACTTTTTAAAAATCTACCAACCACAAAAACTATAAAATAATTTTTTTTACAATACTGTTTTTTTTACAATACTAGCGATAAAAACTGTGAATTTTTACGTATTTTAATTTACATATTATAAATAATGATAATCTATGCAATAAAAAGTATACAGATAAAAATTATTAATTGTTTAAGACTGATGATACAAGTAGATATACTTCAAATTTTTCATTGCTACATTTCCATCGTTCCTTAATTTCTAGATGTAATTTATTAGAAGTTACTTTTTTCAAGTTAAGGTGCGCTTGTTTCTAAAATATAAAATATGTATGAGTTTAATTGAAAAGATTAAAACACAAGAAATGTAGAATAGTGGTATTAATTAAAATAATTGCATGAAAATACCTTTTTAGAAGCGGCTCGCTTAGACTTTGATGAATGAACTGTCACTGTCACTAAGAGATCTTTTTTTAGCATTTTTGCGTTCTTTTTTTGATAAATCAATAAAACCGTATTTGATAAAATTACTTTCTTTTTGACGCATGTCAACCCATTCTGGAAAATATAAACAGTATTATACATATACATAGTGTACAAAATATTTATAAACTTAATTAAATGCATTAACACATAATTTTTATTTTAAGATAGATATTTACCATGACATATTTGATTACATTTGTAAAAATATGATTTTCAAAATGTTAATATATTTAGCTGTAAGTTTCCATGAAAAACCATTCGATTTGGTTTTTTAATACTATCATATGTCTTTGAAGACATAAAAACAAGGTAATGAACTAAAAAAGGATCTCATATACTAAGCGATCGAAGAGTCGTTATCAATTTTCTTAAAAAAGATATTTCCGGCGAATCAATTGTTCTAAATTCGTTAAATCAATTTGTACTGACAAGTGACAAAATGCATACAAATCTGGAAATCATAGTTAGGTTTTAATAAAGTCAACAGAATAAAAATCGACATTGGATTACAGTGCATGAATAACAGTCGTGTAAGTTCATAATGTATAATGAATAACACAGGTCAACATTTGATCTACGCGTGAATGCCGGAAGCGCATAGGTGCTGGTGGGGTTTTTGGGGTCGCTGATTACGATGAGAACGTCGGTTAATCTCCATCACGTCAGGTTCAAGTCATTTGAAGGTCAAGTGGAGAAAAAACCATCTGAAAAATATGTTTTTGAGCTCTCTGAATCTGAATCCGACTTTTAATTACACTTTGGATCTATCGGTAGAGGTTATTCAAGGTTATTATAAGACTTTTTGGGATAAAAAGTCAAGTACGATTCGAAAAATCTTAAAAACATTCATACATATGTTTTCGAGGCCAGCAAATCGGAATCTGAAGTCAGTTAACCTTCATAAGGTCAGGTTCAAGGTCATTTGAAGGTCAAGTGGAGGAAAAAAAATCGAACAAATCTGAAAAAGTTTGCGGGCAGTATACGACGAAAAAGAAATTCGCATTCTCAGAAGCATTGCAAAAAAAAAATATAATGAATGCTTTGCAATCGAAAGTGATTCTTTAGGGAATTGCTTTACTCCAAAAGCTACTAGACGCCGCAATATTTTGATGGGAAACAGGAGACAGATATTTTCTTCTCCGATGAAATGGAGAAAGCCATCAAATCACGCCTCTGATTGCTACTTCTGTTCAACTAATCTACTTGGTTATAATTTTCGGCTGTACCTTTATCGTCATGTCAGCCAATTCCCAAATGAATCACTTTTGATTGTAAAGCATTCATTATATTTTTTTTTGCAATATTTCTGAGAATGCGAATTTATTTTTAGTCGTATACTGCCCGCAAACAACACAAAAGATGTCCGGGTTGTTTCTGCAAGGACTTTGACTTGTAGCATTTGACTCTACAGAGGCCAAGTTTCCCACCAATGTAGAGCTACGGTCGCATGATGACGACGCCTGCGGGCCCGCTTTCCCACCCTGACCAGCCGCCGATACTGGGGTATCCCTCCCCTACATCGAAACATTTTTCTGTGTGGTTGCCATGACGGCATCAACGCCTTAACCCAGGCACTTCGCCGGATAGTGGCACAACTCCGTTGCTCACCGTCACCACGTGGAGGTGTCCTGGGTGCAACCACACATTAATTTGTTATTGTAATGCATTGAGATGTACAGAATTGTATAATATAAGTATTTAAAGTTAAAAATTTTTCCACCAAAAACCTTCATCCTGATATGATAAAACTTCAAGTGAAGGAAACCAAGGACACCTCGAAAACATACGTATGAATTTTTCCAGATGTGTTCGATGCCTTTTCCTCCACTTGACCTTCAAATGACCTTGAACCTGACCTTATGAAGGTTAACTGACTTCAGATTCCGATTTGCTGGCCTCGAAAACATATTCATGAATTTTTTCAGATTTTTCAGATGGTTTTTTCTCCACTTGACCTTCAAATGACTTGAACCTGACGTGATGGAGGTTAACCAACGTTCTCATCGTAATCAGCGACCCTAAAAACCCCACCAGCACCTATGCGCTTCCGGCGTTCACGCGTAGATCAAATGTTGACCTGTGTAATTAATTATTAATTGCTTTTACTAAATTAATTTTAGTGATAATAATTAATAACGATTTGAATATTAATGAATGTTAATAATTTTGAGAATCATATTTCTTTTTTTATCCATGACACTAGTAGAATAAGCATATAAATATTCACTGCATTACTTTATTAAGTATCTCAAAATCCTGTAAAATGAGTTTATTATTACGGAATAACGCTTTTAAAACTTTCAAGGACATCATTATTATATCACTAATTGTTAAATTATTATTCAAAATTTATGACAGAGTAAGTCTCGGTCCGCAATCTTGCTTTAAGAAGCCGTAAACCGTAAGCAGAAAGAGGTTAAGTAACATTAATTTCTGTTTTTATTTCTTTTTTCTTAAATAGATTAAACATGCGTACACACACAATTATCATATATAAATGTTTTTATTATTATAATTTTTAATTACCTCCAGAATCCAGAATCGTTACTGGATGAATTTCAAAATTCGCTTTTTGTAATTTTCTTTTTATTCTCGGCGATGAGCCAATTTCGACGTCTGTTGGCCAGTGCACTTTCACTACTTTTTGTTGTGCAATTACGTCGTTTAAAATGACGTTGTCTAAATCACACAATGCTTCAAAACATACAGCCACTTTATTCTCTTCGTTACAAAATTTGATCAAAACACACTTTTCTTCGTTAATTTCAAAATGTATTTTACCGTTATTATCCTTATCGCGATCGCATGAAATGCTTGAATTTGTCTCATGCATTGTGCTTTGTTGATCTTTTCCTTTGTATTTTTGTAAGCTATGTACTAATAAACGTGACAAAATGGTCGCGTACAGCAGACTCAACTGTTGTGCAACTGATTCGTGAGTGCTCATTGCTATTGATGTATTCTTTTAGATCATCCAATAGCAGCAATTGTTAACGGATTCGTTCCGCAACAGTTGAGTCTGAACCATGAGACACTTATGTGATTCACGTGCAATGAAACCTGGGCTGAGTTCAAAAATATCACCCAAGTGCCCTCATGTATCGTCTTATCCTTGTTGTCCACCCATGTTAAATAAGGATCGTGACTACACGGGGGGCACTCGGGTGATGTTCCTGAACGCAGCCTGAAGAGTAAAAGGGCGTGAGCATAAAAAGTGAACGCACCCCTGCATTGCTTTCAATTAGAAAATTGCACACATACGTAGACTTCATTATTAGTGCTTAAATATCATGAATAAAAATCAAAAACGAAGGAAAAAATATCTAAACGATGATGTCGATGAGAATAGCCGTGACAGTCGAGTACCGAGACAAACTGTACGAAACCGCTATGTCGCAATGCTTACTGATGATCATACGGCTACAATGGTATTTATATGTAAATAATATTCATTATTGCAATGATTACTTACTTAACTAACGTTAAAAAGATGTTATGTCTAATGCACTAAATTTTTTTTATATAAAATATTTTTTATTATAAACATTTTATATACTTTTTGTTTCATGTCAAATCGATTTAACCTTATTTGAATACTTTATAAATATTTTTATGTATGGCATGATTTGAAATTACCAAGAATATTTACATGAATATAGTGAATAATTTCTAAAGTAAATTCAAATTTTTTTATGTAAGCATTCAAGTATAAAGAATGAATTTAGAAAATTCTTCATTTAGTTCAGAAGACGTCACATTCATTTCAATACCATTTATAATTGGATTATTTTATAACTATAAGCGAACAAATTTCACAAAAATTTTTCTATAAATCTATATAGGAAAGAAACAGTAACAACATGGACCAAGAAGATTCGTCAGTTCTGGAAACCATTTCATTAGAAGCAGAAGTTAGTATCGATTCTAATCTGTAAGAATCAGATATATTATCTGATTCATCAGACATGTCTGAACATAAAAACAGCCTTCAAGTAAATGATTCGCTTGAAATCATGAAAATTGCAATTTATCACAATCGCAGAACCAAAGATATAAGAAAATGGACTGCAGGACTGCATGATTCTAAATAGTATTTAATTGTGGTCGATAATAATGAAAGAAAGGAACCGTGGAAGACGATCAATCTCTCTCATTCTCTCTCCCGTTACACCGTTGAATCGAAAGGCCGTCTTCTACAGTCCCTCTCTCTTGTATCCATCATTTTAACACATGCGGCTCGCGCAGTTCATTCTCTATGTCTTCAATCGCAACATGAAATCAGATAAAAGTAGTACTTTTTCTAAATAGTAATTTAATTTTTTAAAAATATGTTTATATTCAAAATAATAAACATAAAAATGGCATTGTAAGAGTCAGATAATGTTTATATTTACATTTTGAGTACACATATAAAAATGGGTATAAAATATTTTAATTTAATTTTGTTTATGTTTATCACTTGTACGGTCGTAGAAAGATTTTAATATTTTAATTTAAATTTTGTAAATATACATATAATAGAATATACCTACAAATAATACAAATTATAATCACGTAATTCCATTTTTAATTAAACCACAAAGAAATTTTTTAAATCTAAGAAATATTTTATAATTTAGGAAAGGATTACGATCAATAATGACGTACTTGATGAATCAATAAGTTGAAATCATGGAGTATTATTAAACAATTTAACTGACAGAGAATATAGCCACAATTCTGATTCAGATGATACATGTGCATCAATCAACGACAGCAGCAGTAATGATACAGATGTTATATTTCAGGGAGTTAATGTCTCTTTAAACAGTTCTCTAGAACAAGAAGACCATATTGATGAGTTTGTTTATCCTGAAGTACAACATGAGGTAAGCAAAAACCCAAATAATGTTAAATATCATTAAAAAGGCAGATTAGATATATGTAATTATAATTACGTGTTATTTCAGCCCCAGTTTCTATCAAGGATACCTTTGTATGATGGATGTCGACTAAATAAGCAAGAAAGCAAATTGTTAATTTTAGCGTATGCTAGTTCGTTTAATTTGTCAGATGCTGCTTTAGATGGCTTGTTGCAATTAATTGATTGTCATTTGCCTCAAGATGTGCACGTATCAAAGTATTTATTTTTAAAAGATTTTCCAAGTATTAATAAAGCTAAAAAGTTTTTTTTTTGTTCTGAATGCAAACAATTGCTTGAAACAAATAATAATGAAATCATATATTGTGAAAATTGTAAAGTAAATCTTAAAGTAACCGAATTAAGGCATAAAAATTTCTTTTTTCTGCATCTTCCTCTGAAGGAACAATTACAAGAGATATTAAGTATACATTATCAGTCATTGAGAAAAACACAAGATACCGATAGTGACATTGTAAATGGCGAAGCATATAAAACTTTAAGGGAAAATAATATAATAAAAGAACATGATATTTCCGTTCAGTGAAATACTGATGGAGTTAAAATATTTAATTCCTCTAAAGTTTCTATGTGGCCAATTCAATGCACAATCAATGAGCTCCCTCAATATTTGCGAAATAAAAATGTCATGCTTTGTGGTTTATGGTGTGGTGAACATAAAGATATGAACATGGATACAATATTAAGGCCATTTATTATGGATTTAATAAAATTACATGATGAGGGTTTTGAATTCCTTGAGCCGGGACGCAATAACATTATTACAATTCATGTTCATGTACTTATTTCTCCAGTCGATGCAGTAGCCAGGGCAATCCTGCAAAATATTCACCAATTTAATGGTAAATACGGTTGCTCGTTTTGTCTTCATCCAGGCGAACATATTGCTGTTAAACAAGGACGTTCACGTGTTTATTGTGGAGACTTGCAAACACGCCGTTCTATTGAGCAACACGAGCATGATGTTGAAAAAGTTTGTGACATGATGGAATTAAAGTCGATACATGGAGTTAAAGGACCTTGCATATCTATGCTTATACCTAATTTTTCAGTCGTTGATTCTTTTCCATCAGATTATATGCACGGTGTACTACTTGGAGTAACAAAAATGTTTTTTTGTAAATGGTTTGATACATCAAATCATGATAAAACATGGTATTTAGGAAAACATATTAAAGATATAAACGCTAAACTTCTGTCGTTTAAACCTACTACTGAAATTGACAGAGTACCACGA